TTATTCCTGATAAACTTCTGGAGCTGGAGGCGAGCTTATCAGAAAAAGCAACCCTGCATTACTTCTTGACCCCATATCTAATTGCAACTGACCCAGACTCTCAATCATGCCAAAATGAACTTGATCCTCAATTTTAAATTCAACGAAGATGTCACGACTTTCCGTGACGGAGCCACAACTTAAGGAAAGTGCAATGGTACCGGGTAGAGTGGGGCCGGGGCGGGGTGCTCATCAGACCTTACATCAGACCTTGATTTCATCTTGATTCTCTGGCTCCGTTACCCAGGGTGCCAGAGACTTTTCTAGCGCGGTTTCCGGTTTCGTGGCTTCGGCCAACACCAAAAATTCGCGCCGCACGGGGGAAAAACCTCTGGTATCCAGGGTATGGCTCCGTGTACTTGGTAAGCATGAAGTAAGGGAAGCAAGGGTAAAAGGCACAAAAAACGGTCCCCAAATACGTATGGGCCGGGACTGCATGTGCAAAAGGGAAAGGTGCGTCAAGGGAAATCTTGCAGAATGATAACTAACGCCTGTGACTCAGCATAGGATAGTTAAAGCGGATTGAGAAAGAACACTTTTGTAATCTTTATTATGTATTAACACATATGCCATTAGGTACTCTGAGGTTGATAAAGTTCCTGTTCTGTTCTGTTCTAGGATTGAGGATGGGGGGGCGGTGGGGTCTGGGTTTCGTTTAGATCTAAAAACGAGGGGAGGAGGGGCTGGCTCTTTCGCCAGTTTCCTTCAAAATATAAGTTTTGCGTGACGAGAACTTTCCGCTTTCCTTTGTTACCGTATCAGCCAATTTAAAGATTTTACAAATATGGATGAAAAAATCAAAGATGAATTTGCCGTTACTGCCACTCTTGGCCACGTTGCATCAGTTGAAGCCCAGCGTAACTGGCTCGCGATCTCGTTTTGTCACTTAGAGTGGATTGGAAGTCTATTTTTCGTTCATGGCGAAGCGTTTTCTCGTTTTTACCTTCAATGTGTTTGATTTCTCAGTCACGTATTTATTTTCCACACTAACGCTATCCCTTCCTTCATGCGCGGACCTTTCTCAGAACAAATCATAACCTTTAGTAAAATTTAAAGGACTTTAAATGTCTAAATGTCTACTAAAGAGTAACTATTAAATTATATCTTCCTGGCGTTGCCATGACAACATCTCATTCACATTCTCAAGTTGGGGGTTTCTGTCTGTGGAACTTTGATTGACTTCCTGGATAAAGGAAGTTTTAACTCTTGTGCGTAATGGCGAGTTGTCCGTAAGGCGGCAGTTGAAAGTCCTTTCGTAACAACTTGTGTTCTTTTCCACTTAAGAATTTATCGAATCAAGGTTTGATCCGATACTTTTCGTGTTTGTAAGCCAACTCATGATCCGATGTCTTTATTCTTTACCGCTATTCCAGTATTCACGAGGGTTCTCTCTCTTTTCCCACACTGACGATGACGTGAACTTAATTTCATTCATTCTCAGGACTTCAATCATAAAATCCTGCAAAACAAATAAATGACAGTTTGTTGATCTCTTGAGACTGTTTGGTTTGCTACACGCAACTCTTTAAAAATAAGGGAGAATACTAACTGAGCAATAATGACTTCAAGAAATATTGTTTCTTCCAAATTCTCTTACCGTATTTGTTCTGTGAACTAACAGTGAAAGGTTTGAAACCAGGAGTCATTTCATAAGTTGGTGGAATATGATTGTTTGGGTATGGAGTCCTGAATAGGACTGTTGTTGACAGTGACTGACATTTCGACCTGTGCGGTAGCCAACTTCAGAGTCAATTTGATGTTGTATTACAACAGTTGATGGTATTAAATACCACTTCTTAACCGGGTGAGGTCGTTACAGGTATTTATGGTCAATTGACCATAACATGGATGCCTTGGACACCCAGCCAATAATGCCCAGCCATTACAAGGAAATCTTGCCCGCTCTGCTGCTGATCAGAGGGTGCATACTATTGTAGCCATATATTAAGCTCTGGTTATTGACCTGACCTGTCTGTCAGTTAAGCTGTAATGTATTAGTACTATAACATTTTGTCTTGTTTCTCCCCTAATGCTTTTCACACACTTAAAATTACTTTAAGTAAAAATTAAAATAGAAGGGGAAAGGGGGGATCTACATTTCCAGTGAATACTTCTACAGAAACACAGATTCCATTAACATACCCTATCTTCTGGGGACTTTGTAGTTTTGTAACGTATACAACTCATCATGGCTTTTCTAAACACTGAGCAGTCCTGAAACTTTCCATATATATAATACTGATGAAACTGATTCCTGGAGGCTGATGAAAAGTATTATCAAAAAATTAATTTTACCAATAATACCAATAATACCTACATAACAAACTGATAATAATAATCATCATCATCATCATCATCATCATCATCATCATCATCATCATCATTGGTTTACCGTCATTTCACCAACGAGTCGTTTCACCTACGTCCTTTTCACTTATGTCTTAAGTCGTTTCACTCACATGTTAGGTTGTTTCACTTATGTGGTTTTGCTTGATTACTACAAGTAGTCTAATGTTGTCACACCATTGAACACTTACATGCACAAAATCTCCATTTGTCAAAAAATTCCAGACACTTGGGTGCCTATAGAGGGAAATAAAAAAAGTATTCATTATTTTTACATTAGGCTATGAAATACTAACAATTGAAACTAAATTGCTAGCACTCAGATCATCAGTATGTGACTCCCCTAACCTAACTGTGGTCAATTCATTTTATCCATTTAGTTCATAAACCTCAATTGTCTTCCCAGTGATTGTCTAGACTATTGCAAACTCAATCTTGGCTTTCCTGATTTTTTCGTCATGACTTATGTTTCTTAGTTTTTCCTGTTGTTTATTTCTCCCTTCTCCACTCGGAAACGAAAAAATCATGCTTCACAGGCCTGTACCTATTTCTACCCGGCTTCACCCCTACCCCCATCCCTACCTCTTACCCCCCACTCTTCCCCCCCTCCCACCGCTAACTTTAACTTGACTGAAATGTTTATTAATAACGAGCGAGACCTGACTTGCATTCTGTTTCTTATCAATCAAAAACTGTATTTTCGCCTAATTTACTTTTGGAGCTTGGTGGAAATATTTCCCCGACAATCGCCGTACAGGATCTATTTCTGATGTAATTACCGATGAATATTACCGAAGCGTTCTGTCGAACTATTTACCAGTCAGTCAGTGATATCATTTTAGAATAGGTATGCCTTTAAAATATTACAGGATTCGAATAACCTACCTTAAATTCAGAGGTCGTCACGTTGTCATTTTCGACGATCTTCTGTTCTCCAAAAATGCTCGTGGTCATGATCGAGACTTCGATCAAACCGTGCTCAGAAGACTGGTTACGAACGACCGATTGGATTTATGGGAGATTGTAAAATGATAGGAAAAATAGCTCAGCTGTGATTGGAAGCGAGGCTAACGGAGAGGAAACATGTCTGAACCAAGGCAATTGCAAATTCAGGTGGAAGGGCTCCAAAATCTAAAGGAAACGCTAGAAGAGCATAAAGGAAAGCAGATAGTTGTGATGTTTATTGGATCGATGTTAGAGGAAGGCGATCATATCGGGGAAAGTTGGTGCCCGGACTGTCGAGATGGTAAGCACAGTTCACGGAATGATTGATGGCTCGATAATCGATAATACGAGGAAGAGCCTTTTCAGTTTCAAAAGGTTTTGAAATATAGATCTTTTGTTGGACAAGGCTTGTTGATCTTAACCATAATTATTTCTTCCTTGCATCAGTTGGCAGTAATCACCAGGTTTCCCAGAGAATTACAGTTAATTTCGATTTGTTTTTTTTTCTCTCCCTCAAAGTGAGACTACACCCACGTCTCACTTTTTAACATGATCAGCTGTTTTTGTATCAAGTATTCATGTGCCGATGAAAAAGCCTTCATTTCCTTTGCCAGAATAATTTCGAGAGCCTGCATTATTTTTGCAGTTGTCCTATGAAACGATTAACTGTTATAAAGATAAAAAAAAATATCCAGTATTCGAAATTACCATTCCTTGTAAATGCTGGTTGCAGGACTAATATATTTATTAAGCAATAGCAATTAAAACGGTTCTGTAAACATGTGAAGCCTACCCGTGGGAGATGTTGGGAGAACAAGAGATTTGGCGAGTGATTTACAAGCTTTTTGAGTGTTCTCGTAACATCACAAGTGGGTTATCACGCTGGTAAACCTGGTGAAAGTGGTCTATTGCTTTTATAAAATAACTTTAAGTTTCCTATGAGTTTACCGGCACAATAAACCATAGGTTTTTAACCAATCAGAACGAGCATGCTATCTTAGTTATTTTATAAATAAATATAGCAGGACTGATATATACAAATTTAGCTTTTTTCCCAGGTCCATTAAAGAATGAAACGAACTTCCCAAAACAATTTTTGAAGCTGCCAACACAGAGGCCTTCAAGCTTGCCTTGATGGCCCAGGCCAGATCCCGTTGAACATTTGAACATTTGTTATTTTTATATCACCAGCACAAATTCACTGCATTGTGTTTTAGCTCACACAGCACGAGCACAGCACATATCTGCTGAAGATGGGTTGCACTGCCCTTTGCAGATCAGACATTTAGATTTAGAACTTAGTTTTTTTCAAGTGACTGTAGCTTTTTTTACCCTTCACTCCTAGGGATGCATCGTGGGGGGATATGTCATTTTAATTTGGTCAGCACTCATCTCCATACTCCAAACTGACATTTCCCACTCAGTGGCTCTCACAAGACATTTCTCTTTTCCTACATGAAATGTCTATGTCTCTTGAAATTTCTGCTTGATAAAATGTTCATGAAAGTCTAAAAGCATCAATGGAAAGAGGCTCTGCTATAATCTTTATTATGTGCATGTAAAATGACTGTTGTTCTTTTTTTCTGACCACAAAAGATGAGCAAAACTCAACAATAAATTATACGGGAGACTATTAATAATTAATAGTCTCCCGTATAATTTATTGTTGAGTTTTGCTCATCTTTTAGTTAACCACACTTGACTGTGGCGTCACAAACCATATAACAACAGAGGAAAGTATGTACCGAAGAAGTCTATTTTTGTGCACAAAAGCTACTTTTTATTGCCTTAAATGTGTCTAGTTTGGAAGATTATATACTGGAAAGGTTGGCAACAAAAAAGTTTACTGACCTTTGTGTACTAGCGCGTAGATAGATTACTGTGAAAAATCCCAAAAAATGTGGTTAATTATGCAACAAATGGCCGCCATTGATGAGTTATGCAACAAAATATTATGCGATGCACGATGGGAAGGGTGTTACATCCTCCTTTTTTAAGTAGAAGCAGTTTAATAAGCTTATTAATGTTTCACAATTTGCACATAATTAGTGTTTTTTTTTGTTTTTTGTTTTTTTTAAATTTATAATCACACTTGGCATTCACTTACAATACAGCTACACAACTTAAAATACAAATACGGTACTAACTTACAACAAGACTACAAAATTTACTTACGTTACAGCTTTACTACTTACTTGTTTGCTATTTACTTACATTAAAATACCTAAAACTAGTTTACAACAAAAAGAAAAGGACTACTAAAGACAATAAATAAATGAAAAGAAAGAAAGAAAAA